TTTATCCGCCATGAGGACAGCCAGGTCGCAGAGCACATTGCCTGGAGAGACTGTGCCATCTTCTTCCTTGGAGCTTTCCCAAGACCTAACAAGTTAAAGCCCTGAGCAACCTGGTCTGACCTCACGGCTGACCCAGCTCTGAGCAGGAGGTTGGACTGGAGATCTCCTGAGAACCCTTCCCATATGAGTTACTCTCTGATTCTCTAATAAGAGTTCTCTCTTTTCCTCACTACTTCTCTTAGAGTATGACATTATTAAAAATTCAATAGACAATAACTCAACAGGATGAGCTGAAATAAATGTTGACTCAATACTGGATAGCATTGAAACTCTCTTCTCCCTCTAGGTCACCCTGTGAGTGACTACTTCACTGACCCAGTGACATCAGCCATGGTATTTCTATTGCTGTGGACACGTGGTTACCACTCATACTCAAAAACATTTGTGCTGCTTTATAAATGTGCCACAGAGCCCAGAAAGGAAAGGATTAGAAACATGCAGGTTCTAGCATCTGGAATTTATCACCTCATTAAAAGCTCCGATGTGATGGTAGCTAACAACAGGAGGAAAAATAAACAGAAAAGACCTATGGGATTGGTCAGTCACACCAGGGAACATACTTCACCCTGCAATGAGGGGGACATTCACAAGCATTCTCATCAAACTACTCATCAGTAAAATGTAGGGCAGCCTTCCTTCTACTATTCATTCCCAATTCAGAAGTGGAAAAAACAACCGGAGTATCTTAAGTGCTGCTGGTATCTGCATACAGAGGAGATGGTTTCGCAATCTAATGCATTCACTGTCTCATTATTCACATTATTGCCAAATAAGAGGGATATCTTGACCACCTCTTCCGTCAGCACTTGAGGTACATCTAGAATAAGACTGAGCTGGCTTACTTAAGTGAGAGTAGGATGAGGATACTTGTAGAGGATCAGAGTCAAGTCTCTTGAGACAGCTTTAATTCTGAATTGCTTTCTGTGCATCCACACTAGATGTATGATCTAATTCTTTAAGCAAAGTCAGGGACAACTTGGCTCCCTACTTTTCAAAAGGATAAAGAATTAGACTCCAATGACTAACTCCTTTCTCTGCTTTATATTTGTTTACTTATTTTTCCAGGCCACATAAATAAATGCTTTGCTGAAGCAAAAGAAAAAGTATCCAACTGACAATATCCTGTGACTCAGGCAACTAGGACACAGAGAAATGGTTGGTTTGGTTAGTGAAGTAAGTTAAGAGCAGTCTTGGAAATTCTCTGTATCAACAGTAGAAGACCAAGGTCTGTCTCTCAAATTCCTGGCAAGCTTTCCATGATGGCTTCTGGTCTGAAATAAGCTATAATCTGAACAGATTCACACAGCAGAGGAAGGAAAGTTTGGAAAATGATCAATTCCTCAGTCTAGCCTTAAGAAATGAAATTATATTTGGAAGAAACATGCTTGAATTAAACTAAAGCGTACTGCTGATCTATGAAAGCTAGAAGGTACTAATACCGTTAACTACTTGGACAGAGAGAGATGTATCATTAGTTCTGTAACAGAAACCTCCAGCCTTTGCCCTAGCTGTTAATACAGAAAGCATACCCAACAAGTTTGAAGAAAGCTTTGAGCAACAATGTCAACAGTTTGTTTGGGTTTTTTTGTTTTTCAAATAATTACACTGGAAGACAGATTCAATCAAAAACTAAAAAAAATTTAAGCTCCAAAAGAAGAACAGTCATATCACTGCAAGTTTTACCCCTCCATCTAGCTGAATTTCCAGTACACTTATTTTGGCACACTGATTTCTTATCTCATGTTCCTCTTGGTTAGCAGACACAGTCTTATCTCTGTCTTTGGATGGCTGAAGTAGAGCCTTTACAGGAAAGATTAACTCAGCTATCTTGCCTTAAAGCATCTGATAAAAGCAACCAACCGTTTATGTGACAGTCCATCTTGGACTTCTGTTACTCTGGGCAACTGAAGGAGAAGCAGGCACCTTGTAGGAGGATGTGTCTACCCAGAAGAGATAAGGCATATGGACATGCCAGTCCAGGGATGCCTTGGTCCAAGCATGCAACACTAAATTTATAAGATCTGGTACTTGGTATTTCTGAGCTGACAAGCCAACCTTTTCATTGTAATACAAAGTGTCTCCAAGAGAGACGTGACATACTGCCAGCACGGAACTGAAATCACAGGGAAATCATTAAAAAAGATTGCATTGCTGGGTTTAATGAGTCTCCAAAGGTAGTCTCAAGACCAAAGGACAGACTACGTACGTTAACTGGGTAGAAAAAACTTCTGTCAGAAAATCAGTGACAGAAATGAATCTATTGTGAACTCATTCGACTAAATACATCTGCTTCTTATGAACCGTTGCTCCAGATATTGTAAGATAAAATAAAACCTGTTTCACTATAGCACATCCCAGATCTAGATTTGCACAGAGGAGACACTTTCAGGATAAAGTTACATATTATGCATTCAGATGATTTAACATCTAACCATATGCTAATGGAGAAAATCTTACTCATGCCTCCTCCCCCACAATATGCAGAATACTCTCTTCCTCCTATTTCACCAGCGTTCGCCAAAAACTGTACCAAGCTGATTCAACACTAACTCGGATGTGCTAAAATGAACAACGTTCTGTGGGATTGGCAAGTTGAATTAACTCAGTGAAGGGTCAAACAAGCTCCAAAGCATTGGGACTTCACCCTAAGATACTGAGATTGGTGTTGTGCTTCTCTTCCACCACACAGGTGTGAAAAGACAGCGCAGGTAGGAAGCAGCTGGAGATCCTAGACAACAGAAATCGAAATGGCAGAACTAACGTAGCAGGAAATCCCAGGCGCTGCAGATATCAATGACCTTCCTATCATTTCAATGCAAGCTCTCTTCAAGCCTACTGGGCTTCAACGCACTCAGATACCCTCTCTCCCCTCCCTTCCACATTTCTTCACTTGCCACATGTCATCTATTCTCTGAACTTTACCATCCCCAAATCCTTATTGTCTTTCCTTAATGTTTCTTCTTCCCCACTTACACTCATAAGCTCAGCAACAACAATAACATTAACGTGACACTCATCGCCATCGCAATAATCACTGAGCACACACATCCCACCCCTTTCCCCTTCCTTTTTCCATTTACTTACAGGAGACTGGCAATCACAACACATTTATGCAATGACTCAGATAACAGAGTGCTGCAGTAACTACCACAAACACACGCAACTTCTAGTAGCAGCCTTCTGATTGACCTGACACAGTCAATATACAACAGTTTTCCCTCCACAGTAAAAGGTCTCCCAAACCAACCAACAACCTGCCAACACCATAGCCCCTCTCACAACTTCTTTCCTTCCAACTTTCAAAGCTGTATGCAATTCCACTTAATCTCTTAGACAGACTGGAAAATAAACGCACTACTTTTCTACAAGATACTCCATTTCAGCACACAAAGAAAGCAGTAAATTAGTTAATAAAAGGAAGCCAATTAGAAAGCAACCTTGTGTGCACCAGATCTATTGCAGATAGCAAGTCTCCCTTGGGAGATATATCTGATGCATACACAAAGTACTAAAAAAGTACTGCTGGCTCTTGCAGGACTCGATGTGTATTTACCTGTGGCATGAAGAGTCTGAGCTAACACCCAATATCCAAGTAGCCACCCCTTTGTATTACCAAGGGAGACAAACATGGGCTGAAAAAACGTGAGCAGAAACGTTAGCAGAACGTCGAGGTGACGATGAATAACGCACTCCTGGATGTCAAGGTACAGTGGGATTTTCATAATTTCACAACATCCCAGCTTCTTTCCCACACCACAGCAAAGCAAAATAAAATGTAGGTGGAACCAAAGTCCTGTTGTTATTAGCAGGCAAAGAAAATGAATTTATTTAAATTCACCCATCTGTTCTGGCCAACCATTTATGAGTAATTCTGAACATTTCAGTCACCTGAAAAAGAGACAGTGAGTTCTAGGCACAAACACTTCTTCAGCAGCTAATATTCAGCATCACAGATGATTAAACCACACAGTGTTTCATTCTTTCACTGAGCTTTGTTTCTCGCCTGGCTGCTTTTTGTCTCTACCACATCTCTCCTGTTTCTGGCAGACGAAGTGGAGGTGGACAAGAAAAGAGAGGAAAGTTCTTGGGCAGCATAAGGATTACAGTAATTTCCAATCCTTCAGCAAGGAAGAGCTTGCTCAGGGAATAGATGACCTATTGCTGCTACCTACTCCTCCATCTCATTTTTTTTTTTTTTTTAGATTTATGTTTACAGGTGTTTGCAATCATAAAGTTATGCAACCCAGGGACAAAGTTTGGTACATTTATCTCCTTTCTGCCCTCAAATCTGCAGGGAAGATACCTCCCATCCACACATTTCCTCTGCCTTTTCATTGTTGCTGTGGGCAATTTAAACCAGAAAACTGCAATTCAAAGAGATCTTCAACTATACACCTACAGTTCATTGATCTTTGGTTCACATCCAAGCCTGATGTGAATGTAGATGCCACTCATCAAAAGGACAGTTATGCCACAAATAACATGATGATAACAAATCATCCCAACTCCCCACATTAAACAACAGTATTAACACAGGGACAAACTTTCTTTCAAAGTGTTCTTAGTATTCTGCCTGATTACCTGCCCTTGTTCTAAACAAAGGGAGAACTGTCCTCCCACCGGCTCTACTTGTGTTTCAGTTCAGAGTTTTGGAATAAGAGCTGTTTAAGATCTCACATTTTGTTTTGAATCGGAAAGGTCGTCTGGATTGAGTGGCAAAACAAGTCTGTACACTTCTTTTAATAAGGAGAAAGGGAAAAGAGGTGACACAGGGAAGGGTAGGAAAGGAAAATTTATTACATCTTTATTTTTAAATTAGAAAAATCTCAAAGAAGGTATGAAAAGTATAGCTAGTGAAAGAACAACATTTTAAGAGCTTGCAGAATGTAATCCTCTCTTGAGCACTAGAAAACATATAAAAAAAGGTGATGACTACTTACATATAATATGTAGGATATAATCCTTCGAAGTACCAGCAATGCTTTTTGGCCTCTGTACACTACAAAGAAAGAAAAATATGGTATTAATATTTACATAGGACAATGTACAATTATGAACACAAGCACTGAGTATTTATAAATACTGTGACTTTGAGCAATTAGAAGAGGTTTCTATTCCCAAAGATTTCACAATCCTGAAACACAGAGCAACTGGGAAGTCAGTTCATGTGAATGGCAGCGTGCCCTGTTAGCGTCCAGATGCCCCTCGAGGGCCTTGTCTGCAGGGCCCCATAGCTTGCCACAACCCACAAAGTCAATACATTCGGTGCAGGCACAGGATCCAGCGGCACGTGTTCCCTGGCACAATTGCTTTCTTAAAAGACCATGTACAACTTAAGAGCCCATCGTGGTTGTAGTCACTTAAAAGACCTCCAAGGCATAACCAGTTGGATGACACTACGCATACGACTAGACAGTAAATTCAATAATTGCAGGGAATTATTCATCTTTCTGGAAGCCTCTGGCATGCAGAGCCAGGCTCGGAAAGGAGCAGAACAGAGAACCCATCCACCCCATCTCTTCTTCCTACAGCTTGGAAATATCTCAAGTGTTCATTAAAGTACCGAGGAAAGGAAACTGCTTTCTGCAGCCCAGGGGTATTGTTCTCTTCTGCAGATTGCCAGTGTATCCTTGTTAAAGGATGGCGACAGGCAGTTTCTCAGCATGTGTGAGCAGGCAACGTGGGAAGCGCACATTGTCAGAGGCACTGCCAGAGCACAGACGGCAGTTCAGAACAATAGCGGCGCTTAAAAAAGAAAACCAGATGTCAAGCCCAAACTCTACATACAATGCACAAAATATTTCTGCGTATCCCGCCGACATCGCTAGCATAAAACACCATGTTCATTGCAGGCGTAGCTCTGGGAGCTCCACTGCAAGCTGCGTTATCTGATCACACACGGCCAGGGTGTTGTAGGACACTCTTCAGAGAGCAGAGAAGAACATCTTGCTGGGGTTTTAACAACCATTGCCTCTGCTGCTCACACCTGACACCCGATATCAGAGAGTGCTCAGCACACTGGCAGTGTTTGGATCATCCTTTATGTTCACTTGACAGCTCACCTTTAAATAATAGCTCATATAAGTTTATTAGCCTCCCCCAATCCCAGAATACTAAATGAATCCAGTTAAGACAAAGACAAAGTGTTTTTAGATCCCCGACTCTCACTCCTCATGAATAAGAAAGGCTGCAAGCTCTTTAATGAGGATCTGATGAGCTAAATCACAGACAGATCAATTACAGCCCATGAAGACAAACTGCTATGGATTAAATTGTTAAGACCAGTACAGAAGATGGGGGAGGAGGAGAAGACACTTCTGATGTTTGCAATCATGCTTTTCCAGTAATATGACAGGCCCACATCAGTCTTCAAGATGCACCAGCTTTAGCTTCTGTTGAAAGGACTGGAGCTTCTTCCTCGGGATAAACACAGCGGAAGCCTCATACTCCTCTCAAATTGATGCCGCGGTCCAGGCAGTCTATGCAGAAGGGCTCGGTAACTGCTGGTGGAGCAAGCGGTATTCAAAGATCTACCTCCACATTTGCCCAATTCCCCTTTTTCCTCTCCTCCTTCAAATCTTTCAACTTTTTAACCTTTCCTTCTGAACCTTTTCATCAGCTTGCTGTTTCCTCTTACTCTAAAATTAGAAATATGCCAAGTTTCTCTCTGTAACGCTCCACGAACACATATGCATTGTAAACCCAGCAGGTCTGCTGCTAAGCAAGTGAAAAACACTTTGGCTCTTTGCCTTTGAAGGCTGCAGATCAGCAGGCCCTGCCTAAAATCCCTCTGCCTGCAGGTCAAACCCTTGGGAAGCCTCATTTCAGAGTCCAGCTTGGGGCGTACGCGGTTACGCATTTTTCCTTCCTGCTTCTCAACCAATATGAGTCACCATATACCTCAACAGCCTTAAAGCCTTCGTCAATCTCGAGCATTTTAATTGATGTTTTCCCAGCGATGTTTCTGAGCATGTGGAGCCTGCGCATCCAAGTTTACAAGTGTAAAAAAGACATTTATATTCAGTGCTCATTCTGCTCGTCCTCCTCCCCGTATTTTAAACCGCTTTACAAGTTCTAAAATGAGTTGGGAAGCGTCCTCCTTCCCACATCTCCCAAGTTGCAAGATTTCTGCTTCTGCCTCTTAGCAACTCTCTGTTTCAGACAGTCAATATTCTTACTGCCATCACAAGAAAGGCTCCAGCCTGGCTAAGTTTTGCTTCTTTTAAGTTTCTTCTAAGTTTGCTTCTTTTTTCCTTCTAGCTTACAGGGCTTACATACTTGCACTAAAAATCCTTTGGTGCCCAGACTGTGCTTTTATATGGGTCCTGGAACAGTGGGTACCAATCCCAATTCTGCCTTTTCTAATATCACAGAGCTGTCAATACTGCCTGGCAGTCGTTCAGTTCTCCTACGCGGGAATTAGGCAAACAAACGAGCAGACCTCAAATGTGAGTAGCACAGCCGAATCCGATACACGACACGTCAAACAGATTTACACACACCAGGAGCACCGCTGCGGTGCCTGCTCCGTTAAAACTCCGAAAGATCTCCATGGCAACTTTACGCCAGTAAACCCTGACATAAAGCAGGTGGCCACGAACCACCGTCTCTACTGGTTAGCAGACCTCGCAGGAATTCACCGACGAGAATGTCATTGCTTCTAAGAATTTGAGCCTCTTCAGTACTCAGGGACCAGAGAGATGAACGGGGTAGTCAGGACACGGATTATTTTTTCCCATCCCACACACATCCTCTGAAGCAGACTATGACCATCCATCTCTTGCCAAGATCCAAATTATTCTTCTGAATGGTACTGGCCTCATAGTTAAGCTGGTGGAGAGTCATACAAGCACACGAGGGGACGTACGCCAACAGCACCAGGGTCTCACCTTGCAGAGCCTTGGAGGGTGATGCTGGTGCAGTTGTTTGAGACTATTAAAACCCCAAGAAACCACAGCTGGCAGTGACTCTCTGCAGTCCACAAAACAGAAACAAAGGGAAGATTACTCATATTACTGCCATACAAATGGACCTCAGACATCAGGGTTGGTGCCCACTCTGCTGGCTCCAGTACGAAGACAGGCTGTATCTCAGAGTTTCTAACAAGTGTTCGTTCATGTCTTTAAAAAGCCATTTATCCATTCACTAATAGCAAGAAAAAAACTGTTTATGATTTTAAAACTAAGCTTAGGTTCGATGCCTTCAACTTTTGTAAGAGAAGGACTCTGCATGTTTTGCTTATAAAATTCCTCCTTCTATGTCCTTTAACAATTTGGCATAGCTATAAAATATAAGAGTATGTTCCTTTTTTAAAATAAATGATGCAGATCTAATTGGGTGTGCTTATGTAATCTTTAGAGAATTAATGGTACGTCAATTAGCCAGATGCTTGAGTATATTCCTTAAGATTGTGTATTTGGAAAGAGAAAAAACACAAGACTTGTTTTTCTGTTTGTTTGTTTTTAAGTAAATCAGCATCTGTCTCGAAGCCTGTTTTCTCTGACAGACTGCAGCAACACGAACTGCACGGCGTCCTTTTCTGTGGCCTCTAAATTCATTCAGATTTCCTCTAAGAAAGGAAACGTGCTTCCTGCCACAGATTGAAATTGCAAATGCTACCACTGCTAGTAAGAAACAATGAGAAAGAAAAGTTACTAACGCATTAACCAAAGACTGGTTTTGATCACACCATAAAATATAGAACTTGAGTACATGCGTATGCACATGGTGTGGAGGAAGAGAGAGCAGGCAGTCTGCTCTCTGGATGTCAGATGGTACTCTACAGATCATTAGTTATGCTTTGCAGGACTTGCAGAAATACTGTCTCTAGGAGGAATATCCTCCACGTAACACACTGTTATCTTTCAGTCCACAGGAAAATAAAAAGAAAACAGATCTCATCAATTAATTACTCTTTGTAGTCAAGGGAGTGGTAGATTCACGCCCAGTGCTTTTATTGGAGGTTTAGAAAATAATAAAAAAGTAAAAACAATTACAGCCCCAGCTGCAGATATTAAATGCTTTCCAATACAAGTACAGTCTGTTTTTGTTACGGGTATCAATGAAAAAAGCAGCCTGCTGTGGACAGATGTGTTTGCGGAGGGCGGGGGGAGGAGGGCGATTGCTATCTGTATGCAGAAGGGACATTCAGAGTGAGTTTGTGACATCTGCTCAAAGCCAGATTCTGTAGGAGGCACAGGTCTGCTATTGATCACAAAGTCAATGAAACCCGATCACTTATCAGCAACTGAGGGTGCAGCTCGCTCTTTTTAACCAGACAAAAAGCTAGATGCTACATACAATTTCCATGACATGTTACAATTGTAAGAATCCAAATAGATAGATTCAAAGGAAAAAAAGCAGGTATTTAACAGAGTGTCCCGCCATACTGATATGACAGAAATGGCTCCTAGTGTTCTGGGATGACCCACTTAGTGGCTATTACCTCCCATTCAGCTGGGTATATGCTATACGTTAGCAGGGTGCAAGCTGATCCAAATGTCATTCTTGTGGCTACAGCCTCTGAGGTTCTGCTAGGATTAATCTGTAGATGAAGAGGAAGAAAGAGTTAAAAGCACCTAAGACATGGAACAAGACCTCATCATTTCTGAGCATCACATGATCCTATTCCAACATACACCCAGAAGTCAGTGTTCCACATAGCTAGATCAAACTAGTAATCGAGGGAAACGAAAGGACCACACCTTTCTGACCATATGGCTCCACAGCATCTGAGAAACAACTGGCTATGCCTGCTGCCTCTCTTACAGAAGGCCTCTTGCAAAACTCAACCACACAAATCTCTTCCAGTTTTATTGGTCACTGCACCTGGCAAGTACTCGATGGAGCTCTGGCAAAAGGATGGGACAGTCTACAGTGCAACTGCAAACTAAACAATGAGTTCCAGCAGGCACATTACTGGCTAGGAATCACAACATTTTATAGGATCTGACCTTTACAACAGTATCAGTTTTCAGAACATTATCCATTTCAGTGCCT